GTGTGTTGAGGCAAGTTGGAGTTAAACTCTGCAGGACACCGGCCCTCCAGGATCAAGTTTGGAGACCCCTGATTTAGAATGTTATTTGTATTTCACATTACATTTTGTTTTTTCAAATAAATGCTGTTCTTTTTAACTTTCTATTCAAAGAATCTTGAAAAAATGTATCATGGTTTCCACAAAAATATTAAGTAGCACAACTGTTTTTAACATTAATAATAATAAGAAATGTTTCTTAAAGGGGTGGTTCATTGCAATTTCACTTTTCTGGTAGCGACTACAACAAGTTACTTCCCAGTAACAAACCCAGATAAACCCACACTCGGGAAATGGCAACAAAGGGGGCGAGGCCATGCTGCGCTGCTTTAGAGAAGAGGAAGAGAACTCTTCTAACGATTCTAATGGATTCACAATTTCAAAATCAATGTTCTAAAGCAGCGGTTCTTAATACTGTTCCTCGCGTCGCCTGCTCTGCACACGCTCTGCATCTCTCTCTCTCTCATTCAGCTCAGCTCCAACAATGAACTCTTCCAATTATACACTTATTTTTACATAGCTATGAGAAGCGTTAAACATGGACGTGCGTGCAGTTGCCGTACTGTATTAAAGCTTTAATCAGGATAAAACTGTATATTAAAAGCTAACATAAGCAGTAGCATTTACAAATAACAGCGTATCAAAAAGTATGAGACAACAACAAACAAAAAACATAGGCCTACCATTAAAATCCGTGTTTGCACAGGTTCTGCACGATCCTCTTCAATAATATCCTCTGCTTCTCAATCGGGCTCAAACTGATAAGCGATATTAACTACGCCGTTGTTTACAATACAACCGGAGCACATGCCGCTGAGGTGAGGGGCGGGACGATTAGGCACACACTAGAGACGGTTGAGCCAATCACAACACACTGGGCTAGCTAACCAATCAGGGCCCATCACCTATTTCTGAGGGAGGGGCTTCATAAAAGAAGGAAATGATCAGCACGTTTCTCAGAGAAGGGACAGAGCGGTGTGGAATGAAGGTAAATGATGTGAAAACTAAAAAACGAAGCATTAACACATGTTAGACTGCACCCCATAAACACAATCAAGCCTAGAAAAAAAAAACAGTGGACCACCCCTTTAAGAAACAAATCAGCATATTAGAATGATTTCTGAAGGATCATGTGGCACTGAAGACTGGAGTAATGATGCTGAAAATTCAAAATTCCATCACAGGAATAAATTACATTTTAAAATATATTCAAACAGAAAACAGTTATAACAGAAAACATTACAGTATATTGTCATAATACTTCACAATTAATTTTTTTTCTGTATTTTTGATCAAGTAAATGCAACATTGGTGAGCATAAGATACTCATTTCAAAAACATAAAAAAAAAAAAAAATCTAATGTATGTCAGCATGTCAACTCATCCCATATATTTTGTTTTGTCCTGTGACTCATTAGTAATCTAAAGGAGTTTGGTCTTGCTTCCATCCTCAGCACACACTCACTCACTCACACACACTCTCACACACACACACACACACACACACACACACACACAGGAAGAGAACAGACCATTCTAATGCAACACAACCCAAAGCACAATGATGTTCATCTTGATCTGACCATGTGCACTATGTCAGGAACTGAAGCGGTGGGGGTTCATCTCTCTCATCTGCATGAGAGCAGTTCTGTTTGGGATAGTTACCGACTGCTCTCTGCATCAAACGGCCCTGTGGGACCATGTGTTTGAAAATAGAGGCCAGAGGGTTTCTTTTCCCAGACAGAACCAGACATTATCTGCTGTTGATCTCCTCTTTAATCTGCATGGTTCATCACAGCGAACAAATCTAGATGCTGTTGTACTACCACAAGCAGATACACACATCCACACCCACACACACAGCCACTTTATTCTTGCCACCCGAGCGAGGGCCATCTTAAAACAGACACACCTCCCGTGATGTCACAAATCTCGTCAGCCACCCTTTGACCTCCGTCTCCATGAGATGTTTTTCAATGGGAGGCATCTGCGGTGAGAGCTGAGTCACAGAACGAGACGAATGAGTCACAACGGCCACTGAGAATGCAATGACAGCGTCTCATAGCAGCAGCACGGGGAGTCACACATTCAACATGTCTACATAACCGCACAGCGAGAAATACTCCACAGCTCTCCAGAGCCACTCCGCTGCCAAAACCCTGCCCACATACACGCAATTAAACCGTTTAGTAGCGTTTACTTTAACGAGAATGATCGGTAGGCCCATATGGATTCTGCAACGCTGTTTCCGTGCTGATTTTGCAATGCAGATTTAAATAGGTAGTCATGTGATTGGACAGTTTAAACTAAGATGCCTTTCTTTGATTGGATAGGGGAAATACTGCTAATGTCATTCATTACAAAATTACTGATACAAATGTTTGTTAAAGAGTTTTTATTTCATTACAATAACATAAATACTGCTGAAAAAAGAACAAAAAACACACCACATGACATTAACAAATGAACTTGTTTTTGAAGAGAAAAAAAAATCTAGAAAGAATATGATTGTTTCAAATAATCCAATTATGTCAGGAATTTGGGGATTGATATTGTTGAGCTTCGTGAGTTGAAGCTGAACAGTCAAGGAACACCGGTAGATTGAACCCCCTTATTTGTGGGTTAATTAACTCACCCAAATCATAAGATTAATCAGATATATACAGAACAGAAATATCATTTTACAACTTCTGCATGAAATGATGCAAATGCACAAGAGAACTTAAACTACAGTAAGTTCTGCGCTGGTCAGAATGTGCACGTCACATTGAGAGTATGCTCTACATGGAAAATAAATTATAGCACAAAGATTCACAGGATTACATTATTGCACAATATAATTTTTAGGAGCTCAGGTTTATACAACAAGGGTTTTAAAATGTTTTATTTATTTTTTATTTTTTTGAAAGACAGATTGAAAGATTAATTAAGACGACATGACAAAATATTGACTATTATTTAAAGGACCAAAACAAAAAAC